AGGCACCAAATAGAAAAAGGCTAGTGCCAGGCCAGCCATCAAGCCCCATCAGTGCCAGTGTCAAAGCCAGTGCCAGACCTCTGTGCAGCCATCCTGGAGGCAGCAGGACCGCCTGGATCCTACTAGGGGGCAGTGAGCTGTGCAGCCAGCGTGAGACTCCCACTCAGGTTTCTGGCTAAAACGCGCTGGCTCCTGGGGGAGGGGTTGCCACAGGCAGCAACTTATGGTGCAAGCGCACTTTTACAAGGGCACTGGTGGCTTAGCCAGAGGGGTAAGGAAGCTATCAGCCCCGCATTCAACACTGTGGGGCCCTGGTTTCAAATAGAAAATAATAACGGAAACAAAACAGTAAAAACAAAACAGCTAAATGGTAACCAAAAAAAGTTAGTTAAATATACCTATAATATTTACTCCCTGACACACCTGATTAAAAGGAAAAGAAACAAAGAAATAACTTTGCAAAAATGGAAGACCTATTGGAAAGAGCTAAAAATAGAAATAGGAATAAAAATATCCCGAGGTTATGTAAGATTATAAGCAATACACTTGAATAGTCATTAGAAGTTGATGAGTTTATACCAAAATAGATGCAAGAACAACTTCACAAGTAATAGAAGGGGGCCTCCCTGGTGGCAGAAGGGGTTAAGTCTCAGCACTATCACGCTATGGCTGCTGCAGCTTGAGTTAGTTTCCTGGCCAGAGAGCTGACCCACATATGGATCAGCAGACCTCTCCTTTCTCACCAACACCTCCCTTAACAGTGTATTTCAGTAGATCCGCCTGTTCTGCTCCCCACTCTGTCTCTGGTGAATCCTCTCACACACACACCCCCATCTCTGTCCTATACCCCATTTCTTGTATGCATCAATAAACAAATAATTTTTTTTTTAAGTAATAGGAAAAGTGGTCAAAGAATGACCATTTTTTGTAAGTGATCCCCAGGTGATTTTGTAGGTAAAAACTATATAATCTTAAATTATTTCCCCCTAATAAAAAAGCCCTTTTTGAATTCTGATTTGAAATGGATTACCTCGCAGAATCCATGACAGATTTACTCCACATCAAGAAAATACCTCCCTAAGTAAATCTAGGAAATAGCTTAATATGCCATATAGCTTGTATCAACTTGTCACCAGAGGACACCTGATTACCCACACATCTGCATTATTTAAGGTGGATGACCATGGCTGACTGTGGTGTTGGACAGAGTCCAGAGAGGGAGCAAAGGCCCACAAACACAGGGGTGGCAGAGTGCACAGTGACTCCCATTGCCAGTTATGTTGGAGCAAGGAACACAGTAAGGAGAGTCCACATTTGTTGGGGAGGAGAGACACATCACTGGAACTTCTTCATAGTGATGGGAAGGACCCACAGTCCCCTACAATCTGGAGACAGTGGTCAGACTTTGAATATATGAGAATTTTCACTGCCTGGAATGTTAGGCAGAGGTCACTTTACCCACCCCTGGGAATATGCAGGGAAGCTTGTCCACAGGAGGCAAGCATCAACCTTTAGCAGCTACAAAACCTACACTACTTCCCCTTGGATCCTAGCCCACTACAGTTTAGCAAGAAAAACTGGTGGCTGAGCTGGCAGTGATCTAACTTATCTTGGAATGCTGGTGGCTAGATAGACATCTCAAAAAAATAAGTCACCCCTCCCCTTTCTGAGGTGCCTGGGCTTTCCCGAGTCCCTGTCCCACTGAAGCCAAGCAAGTACCACCTACTACAAAGAATGCTGACAACTTGGCAGGAGTTGATATACATCTTAGGCTGCTGGTGGCTAGTTTGACAGTCCCAAAAGACATGTACCCCTCTCCCACCTAGATTCCTGGCACTTTCCCTCTGTTGCTAGTCTGCTATATACTGGCTACCACTGCCTCCAAAAGAGTCAGAGAAAGCATCTGACATTTATGATAAAAACACTGAAAAATGGGGATAGAAGGAACACACCTCAATAAAGGTGATAATATCACAAACCCATAGTAACATCATTCTCAATGGTGAAAAAAAATGAAAGCATTTCCTCTCACATTAGGTATAAGAAAAAGATGCTCACATTCATCACTACTATTCAACATAGTACTGGAGTTCTAGCTAGAGCAATTAGGTAAGAGACAATTGGAAAAGAAAAAAGTGCAAAAGTGTCACTATTTGCAGATAACATGTTAATATACATAGAGAACACTAGGGACTCCACTCCAAAATGATTAGAAACAATAAATGAATACAGTAAAGTGGAAGCCTACAGAATCAGTATGCAAAAGTATGCTGCATTCTGATATGTAAACAACAGACTAGAACAATATTAAAATCTGTATTACAAGAAATCCTATTTATATCCTATATCCTATGCTAATTTCATATAACTAATAATTTGCTCTTTTGATTACCATCGAGTTAAATTCTTACAAAAATTCTAATTTTTATCCCTGGTTGTAAAATCTAATCTCTACCCCAAAATTTATCTTTCATGTAGCTGGCAGAATGATCTTTAAAAAGTGCCTAGTGACTCATTCTTAATATTCTTAAATAAACCCCCATCACTCAAAAGCCAAACTACTGGTGTCATCCACACATGGTCCCTATCAGGCTTCTAATACTCTCTATTCCATAGTCAAAAACTCCTGTCGAAGGGCTACATTTCTCTAAGGAGTCTTTGTTCCCTCAAATTTTTGTCTTTCCATAGATTATTTCTACATATAAATCTTTCTTTTCTAATCTCATTCCCCTTTTAAATGTACATGTATTATGTTGGAATTATTTAAGTATATTATATCTCCAATATGAGCTCATATAATATATCAGCTTGAAAACTAATATTATATGTCAATAAAAATAAATGAAAATTCTTTAAAGGACTTCAATTAAAAAAACACTCAATATTTAATTACTAGCTATTTTCCTCTTATTACATTGTTATAGGTAGCAAATGTATTCAATTTTCTAATATATAGAATAGTTATATTTATGTCTGCATAGGCAACTTCATATTTGAAAGTAAATAACAAGCAGTTTTCACAGAAATACAGAGTTCTTGGCACTATGCATAAAAGGAACTAAGTGAAGTTTATGTAAATTTATCAAGGTGATAATCACTGCAAAGAATTGGTAAATGGGGAGATAGCATTTGAATTTATGCCTATGATTTTAGCCCCACCTACAAATACAGAAGGCCCTTGGGCTATTCAGTCCAACCAGGCTTTATCTAATAACTCTACAAACCTGGTTGGGTTATTTAACATATCTGAGTTTTCTCTTCTAAAAATAGAATAATGGTAATTACCTCTGGCATAAAAAATATGGGGTAAATAGTTTAACTTATTGTATCAAATAAGAAAAATATTTACATTTCCTAAAATTTCAGATTACAAAAAAAAACCTTATCCTTTTTATATCATATGATTAAGTTGTCAGTTACCCACATACTTGCCTAGAGCAAACATACTCTATATTTCTAACAATCTGAAAATCAAAAGTAGTACCCTCATGAATGGGATTAGTGTCCTTATAAAAGAGACTCCAGAGAACTGTCTTCCCCTTTCTCCCATGTGGAGACATATCAAGAAGATGGCCATCTATGAACCAAAAATCAATTCCTCACCAGACCCCAAATCTGCTGCTGTCTTGACTTTGGACTTTTTACCCCCAAAAAACTATGAGAAATGAAGGTTTATCATTTAAGCCACTCAGCTTCTAATATTAATAATGCAATTATAATTATTTTTAATATACAAGATGAAAATATATCTCTATATACAAGATGCTGCTTTATCTAAAATAAGCTGGTGTCATAAGCAGAAATCTAAGATAGCTTCCAAGACCTCATCCATGAAGTTATGCTCTGTATAATCCACTCCTGTGGAGTGTTGTGGGACCTATGAATTGCTTCTAACCTACAGAATATAGCAAAATGATGAGATGCCACACTCTTTTTAACACTCCATTATATAAAAAAGTCATAAGATGTCTTTCCTGTGGTAGAAAAAGCATTATATAAGACTATTACAGTATATAAGACTGTTTCAGTAAACAGGAGGCTCTGGATAGACCTTAAAGAAGAAGCAAGCTGCCATGATGAAAACTGCCTATGGGGAAGACCACATGGCTGAGTCCCACAATCCTACAATTGTAACTAAAATATGCAACATCCTCTAGAGTTACATAGCAGAATAGTTTGGCCAACACCTTGATAGCAGTTTGGTGAGAACTGCAGTGTAAGTTATATCTAAGGGGCGATCGGACTCCTGACCCCACAAAGTTATAAATTGTTTTAAGCTGAAAAGTCTGTGGTAATGTGTTGTGTAGCAATAGAAAACTAACACCATAAAGTTTTGCATTGGTATTCAATATTTCAAGTAGTACTCTCATTTCCTCCCTAAACTAATATAAATTGATTCTTGAAATGTTCAGGTGCATACTTGTGGAATTCCAGCTACTCACCAAAATGGATGATGTGATTCTGGGATTACTGAGAAGTTAACTTTAGCAAAAGAAAAAATTTGCTACAATTAGATTTGTAGCAAAATCAAAAGGAAATAATCTTTGCTTGAATTCCTTTTATTACATTACATAAAAAGCATTTACATAATTTACAATTCTGAAGAAATTTTTTCATATTTGTTTCTTACACTTTTTATGTCTTTTTAAAATATGAAGTTCAAATGGGTGAAAAGAATTTGTCCAATGTTACTTAACTAGTGAGTTCCTGTTCTGACTCCAAATACAATGTTCTTTCTTCTATCATATTTCCTATAATTGAATAAATGATGGTAATTTCATAACCTTGACAGTTAATATGCTGGGGTTTACAGTTTTATGTTCTGAAACTTGCTGAGAACATTTAACCAACAGGAAGAAACATCTTAGGAAAATCTTTAGTACAGTCCCTGCCCCCCAACACACACATCCATAGTCACATACATACCAATGTTGTCTACACATATTATTATCAGAATACTTATAAATCAAATATGGGTGCATAGAGAAATCATGTGTTACCTGCATTTCCTGAAAATCTTTTGATTTCAAATCTTTGTTTAGAAACTTCTTCCTGAAATTAAAAATGGCTTAAAATATATTATATTCTCAATTGTATGATCACTCTGCTTTCTTGAGGAATTCTTAACATTATAAAGAAAAAAGAATTTTTCAAAAGAAGTTCATATTTTTAAAACCATAAAATCAACATAGGTTAAAGGATAAATAAGTGAATGACATTTACCAAGGTAACTAAGTCTTAATGTATAATTTAAATATGAAAAGATGATATGGAGCAAGAAGTACATTGGTTATTTTTTCCTTCTCTATTCATCTTTTGTTCTCTAGTTTAACTATCTAGGTAAATTGTCTGATGAATTTATTTTCAGAATTTAGGAAAAGCGATAAAGATAGAATTCATAATTTTTAAAACTATGTATCTATATTAGAGTTTGAACAAGCAAATTAAAAGTGTAATAATTATTCTATTATTAAAAAATATTCACTTGCTTAATAGGCATTTTAAAATAATTCACACATAAAAAGAGAGCTAATTGTTTTTTTAGAATAATTACAATCAAGAAGCGTAGTAAAAATGCATAGTCCAGACCAGGAAGTTAACATGCAAATTACAAATGGTTACCCAGAACATCAAGGTAGTAATATAGATGAATTGTTCCTAAAATTATTTACAGATTTCATTCTCTTTCCCTATTCATGAATATCTTATGGTTCATTCTTTTCATCTAACCCATTTTAATTCTTTATTCTTTCCTTTCTGCCCTTCTCCCACAATCGTATCTTGAGTCTGCTTATAAAACTATACATTTGCTATTATGTTTTTTTAGAAACCTGTTAATAAGTTATGTTCATGTGACCTCAAATTGTCCTTACAAAATGAAAATATAAATTAACAAGAAAAATATTAACATGTATCTTTATGTCTTACTCTTCTGAACTCTCATGGTTTCCTTTGTCTTTTTTCTTTTCTGCTTTTCCTGTTTTCTTTGTTTGTGTAGATGTAGGCTTTGTTTTCTGTGTAATTTTAAACAAGTCAGAAATAATTAGGATGATAATAAACTCAAGGAACTATATGAAAAATATACATTACTAAGATTTCCATTTTATACTGAAGAATCCCATGTAAAAGTAATTGCTCTCTAGAGCATGATAATTGTGGCTTAGATACACCAAAACTAAAGATACAATGCAAGAAAGCAAAACCAGAAACTGCTGGAACATCTTCAAGTCATTTAAGCGATTACAAAGGTTTTGGATAAGGGTCTAGTAGTGCATGATTAAAGTGTTGCAAAATTCTTATACCTGGCAAGAATATCCAATTAATATGATAGTTTAAAACTTTTATTTGTTTTTGGTTATTTTTATTTTCTGTTCCTACTTAGAACTGCACATAAATAGAACTATTCCTAATTGACCATTATGTGACAGCTCTACTCTCATCTATGACACTTGTGTAGGATCAGTGTTTCTCTGACTTAAGAAGCAAATCTCCCGGTACTGCTTCTGCTTCCTGCTCTAGTAATGAAGAAATATCAAGTAACAAATTTAGTAGATTCCAGAGAATTTTATTTCACCTTATGTTGATCTTATATTGAAACACATCTAATTTTTTATATGCCTCATAAAAACACAGCAGTCCATTTGACTGCTGTCTATGGTTTGAAATTTACAAACTACATAAAAAAATGGCCAAGGAGAATGAAAAAATGAAACAATTCTTACTCTTGGTATTTCTAGTCACTCTTATTATAATGAACTGGGATCATATACTACATACTTACAAGAAATAACAAAATATGCATTTAAAATATATCTGAAAACCATAAGTTATTGATCATTTATTAAAACTAAATATTTGTTCTAGAAATGTGTTCCAGAATGTTTCAATTTTATGTCTGTCATTCATCACTTTCTTTCTGTTTCTATAGCTTATATGGTAATTTAGAAGATAACATCATTAATTTTTAAAGTGCAGCTACTGCCAGATATTAATATTGAAAAGGTATTATAAAATTTTTATCTTTGATTTTTATCCTAAATTAATAGGTTTTTTATGTGCTAAATGTGATTTTCAGACACTAAAATTTAACTAACCTCTGAGTTCTTTAGCTTTTGTAGCTCATTTTCCAGTGAAAATTTCTCCTCTGATAACACTTGGAAATCATTTTCCATCTGTTTGTATTTCTAAAAAATATATATATATAATTTTATAATAATGAAAAACAAGCATTTCAACATAGACAAGTTATATAGTACTTATTTAATAAAATAAGAAAGTCTTCATTAACTCATGATAATTTGAACCATTGGTATTTATATGTATAGTGAACCTAAAATTAGGACTCAATGAGGCAAAACAACCAGAAATGGCAGTGTGTGGCAGTTTGGAAGACTGTGGAATATTTTAGTTCAATATTTCAGTAGTGAAGTGATTCTGAAAGATAATAAGGTCGAATAAAATCAAAAGAATAGACAAAGCTTTCCAGCTCACACATTCATAGAAATCTCTTGAATAAACTGCATTAAGCTTTGGATCTTTCTTTTAAGATTATGCATGCTGACAATTTCTAGAATCTATTAACAACATCAGTATCAGAGTACAATTTTAAACTGAGAGTGCTTTACTTACAGTTTCTAACAAATCTTGTTCATTTACAGTTCTGAAAATCAAAAACAGAAATATCTGTAACATTATATTTTACATTTATATTTTAATGTTTACAATACATATATACATTTCTTTGTAAAAAAAATACAAATAAAGGGACGTACATTTTGACAACTATTTCAAATATCCGTTGTTCTACTGCAGTCTAAATATCACTTATACCATAGCATGATTTAGCAAACTCTCTGGAGCCAATAAATATCTTGGGTTTCACAAACCAAACTATCTCTGTCACTATTACCCAACTCCACAAAAGCAGCTATAGGTGATAATTAAATGAATGGATATGGCTATGGTCCAATAAAACCTCATTTACAAAAAAAATTGCAGCATGGATTTGACTCAGGGGACTGCAGTTTCCTGATAATTGTTCCATAGTATAAGCCATAGATTATTTTTTCACAAACAGATATTTATTATAATCAGAATCTTTTAAAGCATTAAGATATAATTAACATGATAATATTTACTCATTTAAACTTTAGAATTTACTGACTTCTAATATATTCACCAAGTTGAGCAATTATTACCATTATCTAATTTTAGAATATTTGGAACATTTGTACCCATTAGCAGTCACTCCCTGTTCCTCCCAGCAATGCCCCAACCCTGGCATCTACTAATCATTTTGTTTCTATAGATTTGCCTATTTTGGATATTTCATATAAATGGAATTTTTCAATATATGGTCTTTTGATACTGGTTTCTTACACTTAGCATAATGTTTAAGGTTTATCCATGTTATAGTACATTAGTACATTGTTACTTTTTTGCCAAATTATAATCCATTGCATGCATATACATATTTTATTTTATCTACTCATCAGTTTATGGATATTTCTGCTATTTCTACTTTTGGCTAATATGAATAATACTATGACAAATACACATATACAATCTTTTGTGTAGACATATGTTTTAATTTCTCTCAGGAATAAGCCTAGTAAAGGAATATTTAGCCATTTATTAACACTATATTTAACATTTAACTGTTTTCCACAACAGAATATGACATTACTTAAATTCCTACCAGCATTGTATGACGTTCACAAATTCTCTACATGCTTGCCAACAGTTATTATTGTCTGTCTTTTTATTATAACCATCCTAGTGTGGGTGAAGTGGCACATCCCTATAATTTTGATTTGCAATTCCCTAATGACTAATGATGTAACATCTTTTCATGAACTTATTGACCATTTATATATCTTGTTTGGAAAAATGTCTACCCTGATTGTTTTCCTATTTCTAAATTACCTTTTTATAATTCTTTATATATTTGAGATATAAGCCCCTTATCAGATCTATAATTTGTAAATAGTTTTCACATTCTATGGTATCTTTTCACCTTCTTGATGGTATTTGCAGCATAAAAGTTTAATTTTTATAAATTTTAATTAAACTATTTTTTTCTTTTGTTAATGAATTTTTTGCATTTATATTTATAGAATATTAGCCTATGACTTTCTTATAATATTTTTGTCTGGTTTTGGTATAAGAGTAAAACTAGTCTCATAGAGTGAGTTGAGAATTGATTCAAGTCAGATTAAGTATCTCCTAAGATGTTTATTGATCATTTTTGTCTCTTCCTTAGTTAACCCACTTATATATACACTTTGCCTATTTTTTGAGGGTTGTCTGACTTTTTTATGGAGTTATACTTGTTATCACTCTTTTCCATTGTAAATGCATAATTATTTTTCATGGTCCATAGCTTATCTTTTAACTGATTAATTTTTAATAAGATGTTTTTAATATTGATAGAGTTCAATAACTCCACTATATTTATGATTGTTTTCTTACATTTAAGTCTGCAGACAACATTAAATCAGATTTTGAACTGTGTGAAGCAATAATCCATTATTATGTTTTTGGCCAAAATAAATTCAATCAGGACTGAATATTCCATGTTGGAATTATAATTATTCCACATCTATTTTGACATAACACAACCACCTACAATACATGTACACAGGCTAAAGATAGTTTTAAAAGCAAAACAACCCTACTATCCTTACTTCTAATACCTAGTCTCCTTAGGAAAAAAAATCATGATGCATTTTTCTAATAGGTTTATATTCTTGGCAATATCGTACATGACTCCAGTGTTAGGCAATTTTCTTACCAATGTTAGCAACTTCATTCCCAACTTTGGACCACAGCTCTCAGCAGCTCTCAGTACTTTCCTTCAGTAACCATCCCACAACCCAATCTCTATTTGCAATTCTAATTTGCCACATGATTTCCAAAAAGAACTATTTAAGGGGCTTCTTAAGGTATGGATCTTCCTCTCCCACATTCTGGGTATATACCAGGTGGTAGGTACAGGTAGGGCCTGACTGGCACAGCTCCTGGCATATGCTACAGTGGTAAGTCTGACTGGGTGTGTGGGCCAGAGGGCATGCATGACCTCTGGTGAGCTCCCCGGCAATGGGTCTGTCAGTAGGCATTTAGATTATCTCCAGCTTTTGACCATTGTAATTAATTCTGGGGGGAAAAAAGTGCACATAGCTCTTCAAATTAGTGTGTTTATCTTCCTGTATTTTTCAAGAAAATTCCCAGAAGTGAGGTAACTGGATCATACGAAATTTCTTTTATCTCCATACTGGTTTCATCACGGCTTTACCAATTTATTCTCACCAACAGTGTGTCAGGGTTCCCCTAGTGCACATCATTTCCAACACTTGCTGTTTCTTTTCGAAAATAGCCATTCTCACCAGTATAAGGTGATATCTCATTTCTGTCATGATTTGCAGTTACATAATAATAAAAGAGATAACGAACAACTTTTCATGTGCCTATTGGACATCTGTAGGTCTTCTTTGGAAAATGTTTTTTCAGATCCTCTGGTCATTTTTAATTGCATTGTTTTTTTTGTTGTTGTTTTATGAGTATTTTTTTTTTAATTTGGGTTATTGGCATCTTGTCAGACTTGGGATATATATTCTCCCATTTAGAAGGATATGTTTTTGTTTTTAGCATATGTTTCTTTTGCTGCACATTAGCTTTTTAGTTTTTGCATAGTCCCATTTGTTTATTTTTGCTTTTGTTTCCCTTACCATTGGTGTTGAGTCCCATATCAACAAAAGGAAAGACAAAAATCTAATGACCTTCTCAATGGATACAGAAAAGCATTGGACAAGTTTCAACATCCTTTTATCATTAAAAAAAAAAAAAGCCCTCAACAAAATTAAGTACAATAATAAACATAGTAAAGGACGTAGATAACAAACTAAAATCTAATATTGTACTCAATTGTGAAAAACTTAACATTTTGCTCTAAGATCAAAAACAAAACTTACTTCTCCAACACATCTGACTGTTTTTCAAATATTTTCAACATGGCATCAAATTGATTATTCAGTGAATAATCAGTTGCTATAATAACAAGAGAAAACAAAGGTATTACAAATGGCTGAAATAATATGTCTATACTGATATAATTTACTGCTAAATGTGCAAGAACTATATAAGTAAAGAGAGGCAGCGGCAAAGTGGCTGCATCCACATTGCCAACAACAGCATATGAAGGTACCTTTTTCTCTACACCCTTTACAACATCTGCTGTTTCTAGTCTTTTTCATATAGGTCATTTTCACAGGTGTGAAGTGATATTTGGGGTTTTTTTATTTGAATATCCCCAATAATATATGATGATGAGAATTTTTTCATGTGCCCACATGCCATCTGTATAAGAAGTCTTGCCATTCGTGACAAAAGGGATGGAGGAAATTTTGCTAAGTGAAGGAAGTGAGAAGAAAGACAAATATCAGATGATCTCACTTACATGTTGAGTATATAGAAACAAAGCAGATCAACAGACAAAAATGAGCCCTGGGGTTCTAAAAACAGAACTGAGTTTATCAGAGGCAGAGTGGATGGGAAGTGGGAGCAAAGGGTAGCAGGATCCAGTGGATTGTGGTGGAAGGTTATTAGAACTTTGGTGGTAGGTGAGGTGTGGTATCCTCCATTTAAAGAGGTGTGAACCTGTACTCCTAAAATACATATAGTGGTGTAAATCAGTGTTATCGCAATAAAAAAATAATAGAGAATCAAGTGACAACTCAAGGACAGAATGCTTTTGAAAAGAAGTGTTGCCATGTTGTTAAATACCTATTACATGTAAGTCAATATGCTATTTTCCATCCTCTTAGTTCTCAAAATAAGGCCAAAAAGAACAAAAAATAGAAGCTCAGAGCAATTATAATTTAATCTCAACTGTGTAATCAATAAATGAGAAAACTGGATTGTGGTCCGCACATATGACCTCCTTATGGTATTATATATAAAATGAATCTATCAATAGATTGACAAAAGAAATAAATGGACTTCATTTTCTGGCTGGACATATAAAAAACTTTGAAGTCATCTCAGTCCTAACAACCTAATACATAATACATAGGTTATGTATTAAAAAACTATGTATAGGGCCTGCCCGGTGGCACAGCGGTTGAGCGCTGGGTTGCGAAGCTGCCTGCGGCCTCTGCGGCGCCAGTTTGATCCCCGGCTGCTCCCCGGACACCAGAGGAGGGTCCCACATGGCGCGCAGACCTCTCCTGCCGCCCGCTGCTCCCCTCAGCAGTGTGCTTCGGTCCTTCTGCCTGCTCTGCTCCCCGCTCTGGCTCTGGTGAATTCTCTCACCCTCCTGTGCTTCGGACTGCACCCAGTGCTTGTATAAATAAATAAATCAATCTTTAAAAAAAAAAAAAAAAGAAGAAGAAGAAGAAGAAGCAAGAATGAAATTATATCCAATTTCTGGGCAACCATGCAAGCAAGGAAAAAGAAGAGTAAAGTAGCTAAAGTATTGAAAGGAAAACTATAATCCTAGAATTTTGAACCATATGTGTTATCCTTCAAAAGTGAAGGAGAAATATACTTTCTCAGAAAAACAAATATTGAGAGAACTTGTTGACAATGAAGCTGAACTGTAACAAATGTTAAAACAAGTTTTTTTAGAGACAAGAAAACTTTAACTAGAAAGACACATACAGATTAAAAGCAAATGGCTGGAGAAAGATATGTTATGCTATCTTTAATCAAAGAAAGTAGGGATAGCTATATTAATTTATTAAGGATAAAGAGGATCATTACATATTACAATGAAACTCAGTTCTACAACAACACATAATAATACTTAATGGGTACATGCCTAACAATAGAAACTCAAACTAAGAGAGGCAAAAACTGACATAACTACTATTGTATTTTATTCCTTTGGACCTTGTTTATGTGGTTGGAAGAAATGTTCTATTGAATTACAAGTAAGTACAGAACATTCTGTTTTCATCCATGAAAAAGCATCAAACCCCAGAATTACCCTTTTATCTCAAACCAATTAAAAACTGGACATAAATATGTGAAACAGCAAAATTCAAACATTGGAAAGCACAAAGTGCAAGTAATCCATCACAGAAAGAAATCAAGGGAAATGAACTTATGCTGAAACCAGCTTTGCCTGGAATTGCCAGTCAGCAACATAAAAAGAGGGGACCAAACTGCTGGTTTTTGAGTTGAAAGACAAACTTTTGAGATTGGAAAACCCAGAGCATCTAGAAAACACAGGGCATGGTATTAGAGAGAAAACTACATAGATTGAGAGGAAAAGCATAAAGGTGTAAAGGGAGTCCTTTAATGTAGAGAGATGCTTTTGTTTTGCTTTCCACTCCAAAACCCTAGATAACTTTCTACCCCACCTAGTCAGTCAGTGCTCTCTGTAACCAGACATTTCTAGAGAACTTGGAGGTACTGTAGAATGTAGAGCTATCCTTGGTTGAATATGGCAACATTAGATTTTAAAGCAGAAGTTGAAAGAGGGCAGGATTCCCATCACCTTTTTCTAACCAAATCTTATTTTGCACTTCTAAACAACACACATTACATTGATTATTTAAAAATTCTCTCCATTATTTTTACACGAAGAGGTAATGCCTCCTTTCTGTTGACAAGTAGTCAGAAGTTAGACATGGTAGTTCTATCAAGTAGCAGTTCTTTATAGTCATCAACTAATAGGCACAAGGCTACAGTAAAAGAATTGATGTATATGAGATAAATGATCTATAATTCATAGTAACAAAATCTAAAAATGACCTCTCAAATTTATCACTGCCTCAAAATTCTATCACCTCTGCAACAAACAGAAGCATGTTCTAATCACAACTGCAAATCCTGCATCCCAAGTGTTAGCATAGCAATTCTCAAAAGTCAGTCTATTTTTGGCAAATTATAGTCTTGGTAGTCAGCTCAAATGTATGACTCCAAACTCCAGGGGAGCTATCTTTTTACTTTAATAATTATTACCTGAATTACCAAAAATTTTACAAACTAATGCTATCAAAAGAAGTTATGAACAAACACATTTTCCAGTAAGTGAATGGAAACTTACGTCGCTCAGCTTCACGAACATCCACATTTGCTTCAGCTGAGTGTGTCTTTATAAATTCTGGAATAATTAATGGTGAATTTGTCAATTATGTATATTCATTTATCAATTACGTGTATTCATTAAGTTTAAATACGATATTGTAATAACATTCAAGAGAAAGAAAACTATAAAAAACAATAGTTATTATACTGGAGATCCTCCCAATCAGACAACAAATGGTACTATTTGGAAGAATGTGTATTACAAATGAGTAATATGAACTTGTTTTCCTCTTATATTCTCTTAGTTAATGTTACTGTCACTCTCCCTTTCATATCCAATCACCAGCTTTGCCAATTTTACCAAGTAAGTGTTCTCAAATCTGCCCTATTCTCCTTTTACTATAGGCACTTACAGCATATCTAAAATAATCTACTTTCCCTTTCCTATGCCCAACCCCCAAAAGTTGTTTGTATAATGTGGACAGTATAATATCTCTCAAATTGATTCCAAAAATATCATTTCCCTACCAAAAATAGTCAATGGTTCCATAATATATGAAAAAATTCCCCTATCACAATATCCGATACCTGTAACTAGACTCCTTTTTACTGTGCCCCTATATATTGTTCTATACTCTAATCTATTCCACTAGCAATTACTTATTTACTGCTGTTTGTTCATGCATAGCCTCTTCTTAAGATAACAAATATCTCCTCTCTTCACTTTACTAAATTCTATTCATTCTTCAAGGTTGCCTAAAACTTATGTTCAAATTGAATGAACAAATTGTCTCTGTGGGCTCATTGCAAATTTCAAGTACCTTTATCATGGATTACATTATATAAAAATGATACATAATGTACCTGTGTCTTTACCAAGTTGTGGATTAATGGAGGCAACAACTAAGTTTTATTCATGTTGTACACTCCTAGAATCTGAATCATAATAAGAACTTGCATTGAAAATACAAAACTCTCAGGCCTCCCCTGGTGGCACAGCGGTTGAGCGCTGGGCTACGAAGCTGCCCGCAGCCAGAGCAGTGCCAGTTCCATCCCCAGCCACTGGCGAGGGTCCCACATGGTATGACAGACCTCTCCTGCTGTGCCCGCTGCTCCCCTCAGCAGTGTATTTCATCAATCTGCCTGTTCTGTTCCCTGCTCTGGCTCTGGTGAATTCTCTCACCCTCCCGCGCATCTGACTACCCAGGGCTTGCATAAATAAATAAATAAATCTTTTTTTAAAAAAATGCAAAACTCTCTATAGAATATCTTTTTCAAATTTATGAGTGTATTATTTTATGGCTACACATTTTTAAACTGTCAGCCTCAAACTTATAATGTATTTAAGAAAACTTACAAAGCCTAAGTATTTATAAAATATTAGCACCTTGAATTTTCTGCTGCATAATTTCATATCTTTGTATTTCATCTGGTGTATTTTCAATATCCCTGTTAAAATATCAATAAATAAAGCATATTTATTATCAAATAACAAGACTTTATATTATAATTAAGTAATAACTAGAGTGTATGGCCTAAATATAGGCACTTTGTAGAATAAAATTTAACAGTCTTTAACTTTATTTACAGACATTAAAGTATATTAATTAGTAGCACACAAGTAAAAGTCAAACTATGTAATTCTATGTATTCCATGAATATAAATATGTATACCAAAAATATTAGTAACAAAATAGAAAAATACATTGAATAGGAGCATAATTCTTGTTGCCAGTGTATTATCTATGGTGTAAGTATTATACACACAAGTTTTAGAATCAGACTACATGGCTCAAAACCTGTTTTACCTATTTACTAGTTATGTGGCCTTAGATGAGTTACTTAACCTCTCTGAACTTCATTTTCTTGATTGATTAAAATTGGGGTATTATAGTATTTATATCATAATACAGTTATAGGATTAATATACCTACCTAGGTACTAGTAAAATACCTGGCATACATCAGACACTTACATTTCAGATATTACTATATGGTTTGAAAATAACCTCATGTTTCACAAAAGATAATTCAAGTGAATGTATCTAAAGCACAGAAGCAAGGATCTACTTATGCAGCCCTCAATGGATCCAACTCAAGTACCACTTCCTTCATTGTGTTAAATCTAGTCATTGACAGACAGAGATAATAAAGTAACTGAATAATGACTATCATCCTCTCCCAATTGTGGGTACTTTCTATTTAACATCTAAATAAAATAAAAAAGTTTTTGTCGATGTTTGATGCAATAAATAGTTATCTATACATGTATAATTTTACTTTGCTAAGTTACTATGCCAGATATGACTGAAAATAACATAGTAATAGGATAATTACATATATTTACTCTTCCTTAAAGGAAATGCATAGATGGGCATGGATGGTTCTGATCTTGAGGAAATAACAGTCTTGCATAGAAGACTTACATACAAGTGATTAAATTAATAATACTAATTTATAAGAAAAAAATCATCAGGTATATTATTTGATATTAAACAATAGGCGATAAGAAAGATATAACAAAAAAAGAGAGCATTGTCAGACAAGGTTTATCAAACACAGCCCACTGACATTTTAGCCTGCAAAATTCCTTGTAGGAGACTGTCTCTTCCATTTAGAATGCTTTGCAACATCTCTGATGTCTAATAGTGCCAGTAGCATTCTCTTATTTTGAACTTTGGTAGCCAATACATCTACAGACAAATGTCCTCTGGAACACAAAATAGCCCCCATTTGAGAATCACTTCCGTAAGGCAATAGTTCTAGCATGGCACTCTGTCAACATTACACAGTTCCACATAGACTACTGTGCCAAGGGATGTTCAAGCAATGGAACCACATCTGGTGTAGCAACTGCTATTGAAATCACCACTTAGTTAAATTTATAGTACAATGTCATTCTCTAAGATCAGTCTTCTACATATGTCAAAAAGGTCAGTCAGTCAAATAATAATAAAGTGGGATTCACTAGCATTGCATCTCTCAAGACTTTGATAGTGGCTCCAATCTGTACAGTTGCTCCAGGAATGAAGTGTTGCTTTGGTGTACTATTTTTCTAGGTATAGTTGTATTGACATCCACTTAACCCTTCCAACCATAATAGATTGGGGTTAAAGTAACAATGTGGAGATTCTTCCAGTAGTTCACTATGTTTATTCTAATTATGAAATGAAGGATTGGTTCATGGATCCACCTGACCCACCATAAGATAAAACAGCTGAAAGTCTATTGATCACCTGACCTCTATACCCTCTACTTTGACTGATAGACTATCTTAATATTTGGGGTTTCCTGGAATTAATGTGAGTTCAGAGCCAGTAAATAGTAAGTCCTGAAAAGTCTGATTATTTTCTTTTTTTTTCAATGCAGTCACGCTGGTAAAATATAGTAGGTTCCTTTGGAGAAGATTAAAAGAAAGATTAATGGCCTAACTTTTGTAAAGTGTATTAAGGTCCTTCTTCAAGGGGCCCCAACCTCTCCTTAATTCAAAGGGTTCGGGGTCTATAACCTGAGTGGAGTCTGGCAATTAATTGATGGACCATAACTGCTGTTATGATTCATGTTAAACATTTGTTCACTGGAACTGGAACTTTTCTTTTTTTTATCTTTTCTTTTTTTTTTAATTTTGACATTTATCATTTTTTTAATTTTTTAAAACAATATTTGCTTCCCTCCACCCCCTCAGATTGAGTCCCCATAGAGTTTCCTTTCCCAAGGCACCCATGCACCATCACCACAGTTCTGTATGCTTCTCCCTCCCTCCCTCTGATCCCTCTCCCTCCTCTTCCCCTGCAGGATGTCTCTGGTTTATAATTGTCTGTTTTTGCTTTGTTGTGTTTTGTACTTGAACTAGAACTTTTCTATTGTTATAGATCAAATACAAATTCAAACTGTAAGGAAAAGTTTATAAAACAGATATTTTTAAACCACCAATATTCAATAGAACTTTTTAACAGCCACATGTGGCTACTTAGCACTTGAATGATACTACTGTGACTAAGAACTAGTTTTTAAATTAAAATGAATTGAATTTCAATTTCAATTGCTGCATGCGGCTGGTGACCTCTGTATTGGACAGCATCATTTCAAACTGTTAAGATTTCAAACTGACCAAATTTTTATTTGATTTTAAAGTTATGTACTATTTAATAATTGATCATTATCTAACATTTGTTACTAATGATATGCTCACTCTTGTTGTTTTTAATTCTGTTAACACATATTTTACTTACATGGATTTAGACAATATGGCTTCCAAGGAGGTCCCAGACCTGTGTGTAAGGCGATTTTTCAGCTCTTTAAGTTTTTGCACTTGCTTTATTATTTGTGAAATGCTAAGAAGAGCATTTTTAGATGCTGGTAATTCTGCTTCTGAAATATCTTGATCTTTATTTATCTGAAATAATAAAATTAATAAGTCACCTAAGAAATTTTGTTCCTATGCCTTAAAGAAATTTTATGATTTTATTTGTCATGTTTAAATAATTTATTTTATAGTATTCTTATCTATACTATAATCAAATACTAGTATGGTACAAACGTACTTATATAAGCAATTATCTAATGACAGAATTATAAAGTAATGGCTTTTAATCATCGAAACTGAAATTAATCAATTTATTATTTTTATAAGAATTTTATGCAAGTTCAGTAACAATTGTGGGATCAGTGAAGAGCAATTTAAAATATTTAAAAGAGAACTCCAAAATAATTGCCCCCCCACCAAAATCCTAAGAATACTCTCACTATGACAAATTATGGAGAGATCGTAATTTCTCCCAAACAATTTAATACATGAGTCTATGGGGCTGGTATTCCTCAGATGTATGGAGAAAACTTAGGCCCAGTTGGGTATCTCAAGCTACCTGGAATAAAGCAAGCTACAGAATAATGAGTAGTAAGGAGAATCAGTTAGATCCATAGAATAAAATTACAGGTCACAATTGCTATTCTAGGCAATAAGTCTACTTTTACAAAGTTTACCTATTAGTGAGCCAAAAAAACTGAGTGAAAGAAACTTAGAGTCAATGTGTGAAGACAAACAAGCGGAATAACTATAGCGGTCAGGAAGTTTTGACAGGAGAATACAAAGTTACAACCATGTAGTTGTAATCCTAATCCTTCTGGTTAAAAGAAAAACTGGGAGTGTGGGGGCAGGGGGAGTAATCACAGCACAGTCTAGAATTAGCCAAAAATAAATAAATAAATAAATAGGAAATAGGATTAGTAAATGGTAACAGAAAATACTGGGTAGAGTACTGAATGTCATGTTGGACAATACAGATCCACCAGAAGCGAAGTAGGAGATGTATGGAAATTCTATGGACAAAGTTGAGACTCCAAAGAAGAGGTCACCAATCATAAAGAGTCTAGAAGTGGAAGAATAAGCAGTTACACCATCAATATGCTGACTATCATTTAGAAATGTACTGTTCTTTGTTCTGCATAGAATAGCAGAACATTTCCCTACTAATGACATTAACCTTTACTAGTAGGGTGTTCTACATTCCAGAAGAGAAAGTACCCTACAGAATCTTGTCTTCCTAGTTCTTTCATTTCTCTTTCTGTTTATACCTAGGGTTATGCACTGTATACCTAACTGTATTTATCTCTAGCAAGTTTGACCAGCACCATCCCGTTGGTGGTTTCCTGGCAAAAGTTCTGACCTCGTATATCCTCACGAGTATATATTTCCTCCTGGAAATTCCTAGCAAATCCATCAATGCAGACACTCCCTTTGGGAAACTTATTAGCTTAACACTTGCACAGTTTTCCAGCAACAGGTACAGTAACTCCCTGGAATATGGCTTTTCTCAGCACCATAAAGGATGGTCCCCTAGTGTGCCACCTTCATGGACAGCTCCCCAATGAGTTCCACTTCTGTTGAAATGGCACCCAACAAATTTATCTGCAATCCAGAAAGGTCAGCTGCTTCCTTCTTTACGTAGTCTGGTATTAGCCCCATGTTAGGGGAAGGGGAAAGACAAGGGTATTCATTTTTTTTCCTTACTGGAGTGCTTGCTTCCACCCTTGTGGTACAAGCTGCATCTTACACAGTCAGTCCTCTTTATCTATGGCTTCTGCATCCATAATTTCAATGAACAAATAATAAAAAATGTGTGCTATGTAGTTATGTCTGCTCAATGGTTACAACTGTACTGAGCATGTATACTATCTGTTCTTGTTATCATTCCCTAAACAATACAGCATAACTATTTATATAGCATTTACATTGTATTAAGTATTACAAATAATCTGTACATGATTTCAAATATATAGGAATGGGCCTCCCCTGTGGTGCAGCAGGTTGAGTGCAACGCTGTGAAGCTGTCTGAAGCCTCTGCAGCGCCAGTTCGAATCCCAGCCAGCCAGGGAGATTCCCACATGGCGCGGCAGACCTCTCCTGTCTCGCCTGCTGCTCTCCTCAGCAGTGTACTTTGGTCCTTCTGCCTATTCTGCTTCCTGCTCTGTCTCTAGTGAATTCTCTCACCCTCCCGCGCCTCTGGCCTGTACCCCAGAGCTTGTATAAATAAATAAATCTTTTAAAAAAAAAAAAGGTAAAAAATACATAGGAAGACATGCATATGTCATATGCAAATTATAAGCATTTTATAGAAGGAACATGAGCATCCTTGTATTTTGGTTTCTTTGGAGGGTCCTGGAACAAATACCCAAGGACACCAAGGGATGACTGTCTTCTATCCCTATGCTATCCCTTGTCTTTACCTCTTTAGTAGGCATTATCTTGTTACAAAACCTCTTATGCTAAACTTTATTCAAATTAGTGAATGGTTTTTGTCTCTTGATTTAACCCTAAAAGATACACTGTATTTCCCAGTAATGATTAAATTTGAACATAAGTCTTTAATGAGAGATGATGCCATAGAACTAAAGGAATATGGACTAGACAGTGGAATAATCTGCTGTAAAATTTCATCAAAAGAACCTGTTGGACACAAAATAACTCTGAAGCATATAGGCTATTTGCTTAGTGTACATATTCCTTTGGGAGCTCACCATAAAATTTTTAGGGCTTCAATATGTATCTTGTAATTGCAACATGACCACTGGCATTAGCCTCACCAAAATGAACTGACAATAATAAGATTATTGCAAAAGATAATTGAAGATAATTAATGTGCATATAGTAAGCATAATAATCCTTTACCAGGTTCCTTTACCTGTTAAAGAGGCAGATTTCTAAACTACACACGCAAAACATTTTAATTCAGTAACTCTAATTTGGAGTTCTAAAATGTACATATGTAACTGTTACCTCAGTGATATTTAAATATGATCCATCAATCTGACACCAAGATGGTGACAGAGGAAGTTCCTTGTTTTGCTCCCAAGAGGAGCATCTAACAGTTTATCAGAAGTACACTAGACTTAAAGAATCCTGTGACATTGGGCAATACTGAAATTCCCCCTTAGACATCAGAGGAGAGTCATGCTTCATTGAATAAAGCTGTGGTCCAGGGACGAATACACTGATAGAGAGACTGCCAGCTCAGCCAGGAGGTCCTGGAGATGGGAGAGTGAAATACATGTACAGAGGAGTTGAGATGATCCCTACAGATCAGGTCTCTAGTAAGAACAGAGACTGTGTTCTGGCTTTCTCCTTCTCCAAAATTCAAAACTGGTCCTGACCTCATGAAGCATACTGACAGCACAGACTGCAGAGTCTCAGTGCTGGAACCCCAGAGAGGAAGGATATCAGCATTGCAACAAATGCAAGCCATCCCTCTTCCATTAGAACCCTCCAGTCCACTCTCCAACCCTGCTAACTCAGCAAAAGTAAAAACAGGTCTCAGGTCTCAGTGCCTACAAAAACAGCAGAGACCAAATAAAGTAAAATTAAACAATAGCACCACCTGTGGGAAAAATAAAAGTAGTTCAACAATCTAAGTTTCTGCTACAGATGTTTTTATAGGGAAATTTATATCAACAAAATGGGCAGAAAAATATAATAGTGACACCTTGAGGTCTTAAGGAAATACAGTATCACATGAAGAGAAAAACTCTCCAGAAACCAATCACAAAGACATTTAAGATAAAATAATAATTTAAAAATTTTCAAATGTTATATTTACCTCTTCCATCTGATTGACTTGCTGTTGAAACCACTTTTAAAAAGGGAAATAGAAAAAAATTATTAACAAGTTCTATTTCTGCAGTGAAATAAATGTATGTATGTGTACATGCATCTTCATTTATTAAATATTAGCCCTGAACCCAAATGTTATATCTCCTAAGGTTCAGAATGGAATTAATCCAACATATACTGGAGCATACATTTTTTTTTAATGTAAGCAAATTTGGGAATTCATTTTGCATCCTCAAAATTTAAAAACTCTGCTGTATTTAAACATGATATGTATATGTGTGTGTATATATACATATATGTGTGAATATATCTATGTAACACCTTTTAGAAGATTTAAACTGAAATATATTGAACATACCTTGAAGACAGATTCCAAAAGCTGAAAAATAAAGTTTGAAATTAAAATATTTAAAAATAAAATTCTTCTTAATGCATATGATGAAAATATTTAACTCATCTCATAATTTCAAATCATAATACTAAAAAACTGTAAGTCTCTAATCCAAAATCTCAATATTTTTGTATTTATAGAGTTTTAAGTACAACTTGTAATTCTTTAGTTCTAGGAAAAAAACAATTTTCCATCTTTATACATATATATTAGGAGATTCTAAAGTAATTCACATATAAGATTTCATTTATTTTCTTAAAATAAGTAAGGAAAAAGGCCTCCTTGGTGGCGCAAGGGGTTAAGCACCGCACTATGAAGCAATCCACAGCCTCTGCAGCACTAGTTCGATCCCTGGCCGGCCAGAGAGAAACACACATGGCAAGGCAGACCTCTCCTGTCTCGCCTGAGCTCCCCTCAGCAGTGTATTTAAGTCAGTCTGCGTGTTCTGTTCCCCGCTTTGTCTCTGGTGAATCCTCTCACCGACCCCTGTACCCCAGCTGTACCCCCCGTACCCCAGCTGTACCCCAGCTTTTGTATGCATAAATAAATAAATCTTTAAAAAAAAAAAGGTGGCATTCAAAAAAAAGTCTTAAAAAATAGGTAAGGAATAAAATTTAAATTCTTCACAGAATTATATACGTATAATTTCATATAACAGATAATAATGAAAAAGCATTATCTTACCAACATTACCTTTTCCATATAACCTAGATCCACTAAAGGGCCTAAAAACCAACATCTAAAATACTACTACTTGAGGGCTTCCCCTGGTAGCGCAGCCGGTTGAGCACAGTGCTGTGAAGCTGTCTGCAGACTCTGCAGCACCAGTTTGATACCGGCCGGCCGGCGAGGGTCCCACATGGTGCCGCAGACCTCTCCTGTTGTGCCCACTGCTCCCCTCAGCAGTGAATTTCGTCAGTCTGCCTATTCTGTTCCCCACTCCGTCTCTGGTGAATCCTCTCACCCTCCGGTGAATCCTCTCACCCTCCCGTGAATCTGGCCTATACCCCGGTTCTTGTATAAATAAATAAATCTTTAAAAAAAATACTACTACTTGATATTTTTAAAGGAAAATGCAAAGAAATGGTATGAGGAACAGTGAAAGAAACTGAATACACAAAATCAATCAAAAGTCAAAAATGTCAATTTGCCATCTAGAAAATGTAATACTGAAATGATTGTAATTGTTACAACCACACATACACAATTCAAACCCAATAAATGATTGTATATGCAATGGAATATTGTTCAGCCATAAAAGAAAAGAAGGAAATCCTGCTCTTAGTAATACTATGTATGGATTTGGAATATATGCTAAGTGAAATAAGCCAGACACAGGGACACAAGTATTACATGATCTCCTATGTAAGCAACAGCAGGAGGGAAGGAAGGAATACTCAAAGTAACAGAATAAAATGGTAATTGCCAGGTACTAGAAAATTAGGTCATAGGGAAGTATTATTTAATGCACATAGAGGTTAGTTTTACAAGATGAAAAGAGTATGAGATGATGGCAGTGATGGTTGCACAACAATATGAAAATACTTTATAACTCTAAAAGGTATAGTTAAAACTAGTAAAACTAAGTTTGTAGCAAGTATATTTTACACAATAAAAATAACTGAGAAAATGTAGACATAAATGTACATATAAATGTGTGTTTGTGTGAATGTATAGATATATGCGTATATCATCACAGTAAAGCACTATAAAATATATTCTTAAATGTTAATGGTGTTTATGTATTAGAGATCACAGACAATTTGCTATCCAATGTTCTTTTCTTACTTTCAAATGTACCACAATATTTTTTCAGTTAGAATAATACAATAGATGCTAACTTTCAAAACTCAAAAATAAGAAAGATTATTACCAAATAGGATATATAGATATTATCTTATTTTTTTAAATAATATTTATAACTATGGAAAAGCAGGAAATTAAATAAAAATATGTTAACAATAGTTGGTTCTATTGGAGAAATAGGATTCTGGTGATTTTTCATTTTCCTCCTTTGCATGCCTTAATTTAAAAGTTTTTCAGTATAACATTGAATTTTTGTAATATAAGCTCTCTTGGGAAAAGCACAATAAAACATTACTACATATGGAAACAGTAATTACTCAATCAACACTGTACTTAAAGGAAAATTCACAGTTCTAAATGCCTGATTAGAATTAAAAAATAAATAAAGCTTTCAAAATCCTTTTATAACTCTTTAAGATACTGCATGTAGACTAATATTACCAATGAAATTATCATATTCAAGTTCAAACAACCAATATATCTTTAAATATTTTACTAATAAATTAATAACTTATGAAAATATTAATTAGCCATTAATGTAGTTAATGTTGTTTGCTATTATTAACATTGTTCCTTATAAATAGATAAAATTGGCAATTTACACAAAATACATACAGTTTGTTCTTCCTTTACTGTTTCATCTAACTCAGCTGCAAATTGTGAAGTAGATACCAAGCTTGAATTCAGATCATCCCCAATCTTTTGAAAAGGACAACAAAGCAGAAAATTGCTTTTACTACAGAATCCATATTCATTTGAATTTTAGTATATTTAACTACTTTTGAGATGCTTATGTACCTTTATACACATAAGGCAAGAAACCATTCTCCAAAGACTATATTAGCAAATCCTCCCAGAAAGAAAGTATAGAAGCAAGTACCTTCTGGGAAGTGACCCATTTTTGCTATGACCCAATAATGTCTCTCCTCCCATTCTCTGCACAGAAAATCAAGATCCCAAACTTCAACTTCTGAAATTTACAGGAAGCCCAAAGAAAGGTAACTACTATAAACTACGGCATATCATTTATAAGAAAATGACTTCTGATTACAAGTATTCTCTTTTTTTAAAGATTTGTTTATTCATGCATACAAGAACTGGGGTACAGACCAGAGGTATGGGAGGTGAGAGGATTCACCAGAGACATAGTGGGGAGCAGAACAAGTGGATTGACTGAAATACACTGCTGAGGGGAGCAGCGGGCAAGTCAGGAGAGGTCTGCTGCACCATGTGGGTAGTTCCCTGGCCAGGGATCGAACTCATATGCTGTGGCTGTGAATAGCTTCATAGTGCTGTGAGTTAACCCCTTGCACCACCAGGGAGGCCCCTTATAAGTATTCTTGCTAAGAGTTACATTCTTTTGTTCTTGCTTATAGGCAATAGAAAACTTTGAGGAAAAAATAGTTACAAATTAAAATGTCACAATGACTAAATTTCTCCTTATAGTGATTTCCAACTCTGAGAAATGGCCAATGATAAAAAAATATTTTGGATGCTTATAGACCGTAAAGATTGTTATAGTATATTCTGCATAAGGAATATATTTCCTCCACATTGCATTAAACATACTTATAGGCTCATATACTTTCTTGTCATAGGAAAGACCCAATAATCACATAGGAGAGAGTGGAGATAACTGAAATAATCATTCAGGAGAATGGGAAGATGAATGAACTAAAGTACTAACAACAACCATAAACCAAAGCCCTTAGCAAACTTGGGGATTTCCATCAGCCACATTCAGGTGCCACTAATTGAAAGAAAATGAAGATCAATTTGATCAGAGTTACAGTTTAACAAAATGAGGTCAGTGAAAGAAAGACAGGGAATAGGACAAGAGATTAAAGAACATATACAAGGGAGCAATAATAATGGAAAATGGAATTGAAGCTAGATAAGAAAGGGCACAAAAAGGGCATAGGACTATAAAAGACTAAGATAGACACATTATGGTCCCCAATGAGACCCAAGGAACAGTGGTGTCAGAATGATGTCAGAATGAGTGGGAAACACGAATTAGTTGTCAGAGTTTAGAAAGATTGAAATTCAAATTATGGAAAAGTTACAGTTATTGGTAATGACAAGGACTAAATGACATCATCTTGTCAGTGGTTGAGGCAGGATAGGAAATAAGACAAGAGCAAAGTAATTCAATAGAAAGAGACAGCAGATTATTGGGAAAGATCTGTTATGTGGTTGTTGAAATTGTTAAAAAGAATGACAATAATATCATTATAAACAAGTAGAATATCATTATAATAGAAACTATTAGCTGAATACTTTATATTGTTTCTTTTTTCCTTATTACCAGGACCTCAATTTTATTGAGGAGGAACATTGTGTGTAATTAAAATAATATATAAATTTCCGCAAATGGCCAACAGACATATGAAAATATGTTCAACATCACTTGTAATCAGGGAAATGCAAATCAAAACTACCATGAGATACCATCTTACACCAGTGAGAATGGCACATATTAAAAAAACTAGCAACATCAAATGTTGGCAAGGTTGTGGAGAAAAAGGAACTCTTCTACACTGTTGGTGGGAGTGCAAACTGGTCCAACCACTATGGAGAGCTGTGTGGAGATTTCTGGACCTACTAAACATAGAGCTTCCATACGATCCAGCAATTCCACTCCTAGGTATTTACCCAAAGGACACAGAAACATCCATTCCAAAGAACACCTGCACCCCTATGTTTATAGCAGCACTATTTACAATAGCTAAGCTTTGGAAACAGCCCAAATGCCCAAAAATAGATGACTGGATCAAGAAGATGTGGTACATATACACCATGGAATATTACTCAGCATTCAAAAAAGATAAACACATGCAATTTGCAGCAACATGGATGGCGCTGGAAGGGATCATGCTCAGCGAAATAAGCCAGAAAGAAAAAGAAAAATACCGGATGGTCTCACTCATAGCAGGAATCTAGAAAACTTAAATAAGGGACCAGGAAAATGAATAACTATAAGAAAGTGAAAATCAAAATCAACAAAAAACTATGAACCAGAGACACTTTTTGGGGGGTGGGGGGCGGGAGGGGAGGGATTGGGGTCAGAATGGAGGGTTTGCAATTGTATGGGGGAATATAAAAATAAAATTTATTATTTAAAAAAAATAATATATAAATTTCCCAATCTCCTTTAGCAATAAGGATAGCCATGTATCTCAAACAGAACAATAAGACAAAAAGAGAGACTCATTTCTGCCCATGGACGCCACTGAACAAACATCATAAAAATCACCCCCTCCCATCATACCTAAGAGTTTCCCAAGGAGCCAGAACAGCTGCAGGAGCTCTTCGTTTGATGTTTAAGCTTTGAAACAACTGATGAGAATCTGAAATGGGGAATGCTCACAGAACACGAGGTAATGAAAGCTCCAGCATCACATGATCCAGAGTCTTTGGATTTGTCACTTATACCACAGTGGAGAAGGTGGATGCAGGTATGAATGCAAGACCACACAAGATGGAGGGAGAGTTTTAGAACAAAAGAGGGTCATGTCAAGAGAAAATTCTCAGGGACCCAGTGCCCAATTAACTGTGAAAAAGATTTTTGTTGGTAGCATTAAAGAAGGCACAAAAGAACATCACCTAAGAGATTATTTTGAGGAGTATGGGAAAATTGAAGTGATTGAAATCATTCACAGTATTTCTGAATGACAATTTTGTCTACAGGATCATGGTCACAGCTGTGACCTATGAAAAGAGGAAACTTTGTAGGCAGAAACTCTGGCCCCTATGGTAGTAGAGGCCAATACTTTGCCACCATGAAACCATGGTGGCTCTGGCGGCTTCAGCAGCAGCACTAGGTATGGCTATGGCACAAGGTTTTAATTAACTGCCAGGAAACAAAACTCAGCAGGAGAGTGAGAGAAGTAAGAGAAGACAGGGACGCTGCAGGTTACAACAGATTATCGTGGCAGGTTTAAACTGCTACAAAAAAGACACGTTTTAGGCAAAACTCATGTATATGAGCAAAAAACTCAAGGACTGTACTTCTGACTAATTGTATAACAGGTTATTTTAGTTTTTGTTCTGTGGAATGTGTAAAACACTTCAACAAAGCGTTTTAATGTAGAGGTTTTTTTGCACCTATGCTGTTGATTGTTAAATGTAATAGTCTGATCATGACACTGAATAAATGTGCCTTTAAAAGAAATTGTTGCACAGTCCTTCTTAACGACCCTTAAAAGAGGAGGCAGAAAGGCCACTTATGTTTTGCAGGCAAAAAGATATATGAGGCCTTCACTCCAGCATTAACTTCCCCAAAAGAAAAAAACATATAAAATAAAACAGGCTTTTCCTTGAGAATGCTGAAAAGGAGAGGACACAAAGAAACCTTGATAATTTAAATTCCACAGAACAATGCTCATTATGAGCAAAGAAACAAAGCCATATCCATATCTAGAGGAGGCATGGTGGAAGGAGAAAAGCATTTGACCAGGATGTGCAATCAAAAAATAGGTCAGTATCGACAAATAACATTTTAAAAATCAAAAAAAATCAGTTGAGTCTCTGAGAGATATTTAGATTGACACATGTATTGAAATAAGGAAGAGTTCCTAACGGAAATCACTCACCAACCAATTTTTCCACCAAATTCCACCCCACCTGAATTTTTCCATAATGTGGCAGAAAAGGTATGAAGGTTCCAGACCTATATAACCATTAAGAATGCTGGGGCCTCCCTGGTGATGCAGGGGTTAAGGACAGTGCTATCAAGCTATGGCCAGCCACTGTAGCACTAGTTTGATTCCTGCCGGCCAGGGAGTAACCCACATGGCGCAGCAGACCTCTCCTGACTCTCCTGCTGCTCCCCTCAGCAGTGTATTTCAGTCAATCTGCCTGTTCTGCTCCCCAGAACAGGTGGGAGCAGAATGTCTGTCTCTGGTGAATCCTCTCACTCCCCCCCCCACCCCACCCCCACATCACTGGCCTGCACCCCAGCTCTTGTATGCATAAATAAATAATTCTTAAAAAAAAAAAGAATGGTCTAAGATAATCATTTAAAAAAAAAAACATAGAAAATCCTTAAAAGTCCACTAGAAAACTAACTGAAAAAATTTGTAGACTGACAAGTTATAAAATCAATTGACAAAAATCAGTTGCATTCCTATATGCAAACAAGGAGCTGGAAGAAAGATGAAATTAAGAAAACAAACCCATTTACAATCTCAACGAAAAAAATAAAATATCTAGGAATAAACATAGCAAAAAAGGCAAAGGACCTGTACAATAACACATTGTTAAAAGAAATAGTAGACACAAATAAATGGAAAGATATCCCCTGTTCATGGAATGGAAGAATTAACATTTAAAAATGGCCAAGTTACCCAAAGCAATATACAGATTCAATATACCCCATCTCATATGCAAAAATCTGTTCTAAGTAGATAAAGATTTTGGCTCTAAGACCTGAAATCTGGGACTACATCAAACTGAAAAGTTTCTGCACAGCAAAACAAAAAGACTCCCTACTGAATGGGAGAAAATATTTGCACACCATCATCTGACAAGGGGCTGATCACAAATATCTACAAAGATAAGCCTTAATTAAACTTTAAGATAAGTGTTGGCAGAGGATGGAAAAAACAGTATACAATGCTCAAGGTCCCAAAAAGGATCTTTTTCATGGACAGATATCATTAAGAACATGTATAACCTCAAAAAAAAAAAAAAAAAGCCCTGTTCAATGTCTCTATGTTAGTATAAATATACTTACAGACAAAGTTAATTCTTCATTTGCAGCCTTCACAGCTGGTTGTTCTCCATTTTCAGCGGAAAATCCATAGGTTTTTTCCAAATTATAAGCAACCTTTGAAAAAATCAAAGCGAGTTAAGTACTTTCATAGCCTAAAATTATTATATTAAATGTAAAAGATACTTGATCAATCATGTTGATCTTTTTCAATGCCATAAATATAAATGTTCAATCTCATACTCCATTTCCTATCATGAAGAGATGAGCAATAGTTCTTGACCTTTCTCCCTAGCAATAGAAAGAGGCCTGTGGCTCCCATTTGTGTTGACAGATAACTTAAAGGGAGATGACCTGTCTGTGAATAGTTGAAGCATGAACTCCATTTACCACCTAAGTTTGCCTCAAAATCTGACTTGACTTTATTCTTTGAAGGGGGGGAGGGGAATAGAGATGGAGACTCAAAAAACACATTTTAAAGGAAATTCTCTGAGTTAATCAAACTTTAGGCAAACTTCTATTTTTGAAAGTTTGACAAATTACATTCTCTTTGTATTTGTGCAATTCCTCATTGTTCTCACATCAGTACATTTACAATTCAATTTTGGATCATTGTGCCAAAAGAAACTCAGACAAAGGGAGGTTTTTCCCCAAACACTAAGAAGCAAAGTTACTAAAGGGCAAGAGGAGTTAACAAGGTTGGCCTTGGACTGGTGTCTCAGAGCTTAAATTTCAGAAAGTTTCCCATCATTCACTGGTAAAGGTAGATAAAGTGAAAAGTGTAATTTATACTGAATACCTGCTTCCTTCAGGGAGTCTGTATTTTAGTAAATGTTAACAGAGTACCTAAGTGGACTAACTCTCAGTAAAATCTAAACACTGAGTCTCTAATAAGGTTTTCTGGTAGATATTTCACATGTGTTTTCATAATTATTGCTGGAAGAATTAAACATGTCCTATGTGATTCCAAAAAGAGAAAAACATGGGAATCTTGATCTGGTAACCTCCAAACTTCACTCCTGTGCCTTTTCTTTTTGTTGATTTTGCTTTCTATCCTTTCACTGTAAAAATATGACAATATCCTGAGCCCAACAAGTCCTCCTAACAAAATATTAAACCCAGGGATGGCCATGGGGACTCCCAACACAGGGACCAATGTGTATCTTACCATTTTCAGACGTTTGGTAATTTTCCTGATGGATTCACCTTCTGCTATTAACTCCTTTGTCTTACTTGATGGAATGGGCAAAGCATACCTTATGATGGATTCTACTGTGGGTGGAGATCTTAAGACCATTGGTTCAATGGTCTTATCGTGTGTTAATTTTGCATTATGCTTTTCCTTTGTTTTAGGTGACAATGGTGAATGAGGAACTCTTCTTTTATACTTTAATTCTGGAACATTTGCCAATTTATTAGTAGAGGCAAACAAATGTTTTACTGGCTTCATTTTATTATTTACTTTTCTTCCAAATTATAGATGAAAATTTTATTCCTCCCTGTGAATAAAATATTAAGAGTTCAGATTTAATATGATGACAGGATTATCAATTGCCTTAAAGATGACAAATTCCAATATCAATCCTGGATATGGATAAGGAAATATTTCTAGCAACAAATAAAAACAAACCTTTGAGAAAATTCTAGAGGTGAATGAAGACTGATTTATGCATGGGCAATTAGGATGGGGACAGAAGGAAAAGAAGAAAACAATGGCATTAACGAGAGAATACATTTAGGAAAAATATTAATTATTTAACTTTTCCTCAGTATACCCTTTATATTTATCATTATTTCCATAGGAGTGACAACCTAGGCCCAGAGTATCAACAGAGTAATATCAAGGCACCACCAAAGTCATTCTGAATAAGGGAGTATTAACTGACCAGATCTTATATTTTTGTTCTTTACTACTTTCTCTTCAAAATATATTAATTAAGACTCAGCACAAGACCTCTTCTCAAAGACTCTTAAAGTATATGTGTGCCCATAGGAATTTTTTTATAGGAAAATTTTAGAATAGAATTATTCCTCCACTGTCTGAAACTCTACACACTTAGACTAGTAAAACTGTATACTGTTCCAGTACTAACACCTGGTGTTTGTGTATATAATAGTGTTTGCAAATATAGTCTTTACCAGTGTTAACAAATATTAAGATGAACTCATCTTAACATCTGGATTATGGTAGACCCTAATACTAAGGAAGGTGCCATTATTAGAAAGTCAGGTAAAACTCAGGTACATGAGACATACAAGAAAGACATGTAATAACAGAGGGAGAGATTAGAGTGATACAACTGTAAGCCACAGAGTGATAAGGATTGCCAGAATCCACCCAAAGTTAGGAGAAAGTGAGAGAAGAGTCTTCCGTAGAACTTTCAGGGGGGAAAATAGCCCTGACAATAAATAACTTGATGTCAGACTCGTAGACTCAAGAACTATGAGAGAATAATTTTCTATCGTTTTAAGCTACCCAGTTTGTGGTACTTTATTACAGCAGCAATAGGAAACAAACAACCCCATATATTTTGCTTAAACTTCCAGGAAGAGATAAGTTCAAACTGAACTAGGATGGGCCCTAATCCAATGCCAGGAAGTGCCCTTATTGCAACTAAAAATAGACACTGACACACATCGATAAAAACAGCATGTGAAGCGAGAGGTTGAGACTGAAGCCATGAGTCTGTCAGGGGACTCCTAGGATAGCCAGCAACCACCAGAACCCAGAAACATGGAACAAATTCTCCTCAGAGCCTACAGAAAGTTCTAACTCTGCCAACACCTTGATTTCAGACTTGCAGCCTGCAACACTCCGAGAAAGTAAATTTCTATTGTTTTTAAACCACCAAGTTTGTGGTTTAAAAGCAGCCTGTGGTTTACAGTAGTCCTAGGAAATGAATGCATACTCTAGTGGAAATGATCCAGTGGAAAGCAAAAACTCAGAAATGGAAATTGTTGACATGATGTCCTTGAGCAAACAAGAAGAAATTGGTTTTAATGTACAAATAGGTCAATGCATTTTAGACAGATAACAGGAAAAGTTTATCTATGGCAGGAGTCAGGACAGCAAAAATGTGGGTTACTTCAAGAAACCAGTAGCGAAAGGATAGGACACTCACCAGAAGCTGGAAAAAGACTTTAACAGATGGACCCATGATAGTCATACAAAGACAGAAATAAAAGTTGCATCCAGTGAACATCTGCATTTAGATGAAAAGTATTTAGAGATTTTATATATTTACTTCATTTAACCCTCCTAATAATCTTAAGTGTTTTTATATTACCATAAATTCGCCCAAGTTTATCAGTTCCCACCAACAACGATAAATGTTTTGTGGTCTTCCTTCAAGGATTAAGTTGTTACTTATTTCAAAAAGCCTTCAGTGATCCAGTATACAAAACTAAGGGAGTGGGTGGAAAGGAAAGGTATAATTTGCCTTAGATCCTGCATCAAAAGAAGCAAAATGCCAATGAAGCAGTCACTTGGAGGCAAATTTAGAAGAAAAGGATATTTTTGCTAGAGAATTTAAAGAAAACTCTCACAATTAAATGAAGCCCCCCCCCCCTCGCTTCTCAGTAGTTAGCGCACCTGCTGAGGCTGCTGGAAGTCCGTTACTGGGTGGTTTTGCCTTGGTGAAGTTGGCTCTAACGTAAGAAAGTTGTTTCTGTGCCTCTCAGGCTTCCTTTAAGAGAGAAGCCTGTAAACCATCCTGAAACCAGCTCTGCTATTTTAAAAACTGACATTTGTGCGGGGGAAAAGGGGCCTTTGCGGCCCACAGTGGGCAGCAACGACCACTAGGGGCTCGCCAGCGGGTCCACCCGCGCGAGCCGCAGCCAATGTCAGTTCTGGGTGGGCACGAGCTCCGCATGGAGCCTGATGCCAAGCCGCCGCTTGCACAGAGCGGAAGAAGTGAGAATTTAGAAAACTGTGGCCTCCTCAAAGAACTGTAATGTTCAACCCAGACCTCTTTTTCCCTTTCTTGCTCTCTCGCCTGCCTGTGCAGTTCTTCTCAGGACGCTTCACAAACCCAGGTTCTTTCAGGCATTTGACCTAAAGAAATAAAATACAGTCTGGTTGGTTCTTTGAGAACTTGGGCTTCCCCAGTAAAATCTGAGCACAGGCCTTCATCTGCCATTGTCTAAAATTCCTTTCATTGGGCCTCCCCGGTGGTGCAGCGGGTTGAGCGTAGCGGTGCGAAGCTGTCCACAGTCTCTGCAGCGCAGGTTCGATTCCCGGCCGGCCAGGGAGATTCCCACATGGCGCGGCAGACCTCTCCTGTCTCGCCCACTGCTCCCCTCAGCAGTGTATTTCATCAGTCTGACTGTTCTGTTCCCCACTCTGTCTCTGGTGAATCCTCTCACCCTCCCCCACCTCTGACCTATACCCCAGTTCTTGAATAAATAAATAAATCTTAAAAAAAAAAAAAAAATTCCTTTCATTGAGTTTTGTGGGAGTCTGATTCCAGACTGTGCAGCAAACACCAAGCGGGGAGGGTTTGGGGGAGGGGCAAGAACAGGGAGGGAGAGAGGCATAATGGTCTGTGGGGTGGAGTGTGGGGGAGCTGCTGGGGGATGCACTATGGTGGTAATACCTGATGGGGCTCTCCCACTGTTACCGCAGTTAAAATTTATTAATTATAAATAAAGTGGACTAGGAATGAACTCTAAGATGAGTTGCTCTGCATAAGCAGTCTCTTGTCATCAGTTCTTTTGTACTATTTTCATATGCAATTTTCCAGATACAGTTTTTTTAGTTTGACTTAATTTTGCCTTAAAAAAATTGAAGATTATCATTTCAAATGCTTCAACTAAAGTTTTTTGATGAGAATAAGATGTTTTAATAATAAAAACATTAACTCCATGTAATTTAAATGTTAATAGTGACTGGTTTGAGTTAATAGTGACTGCCTCACCAAATTACTGAAAGTTTCACAATCAGTTCTCAAGAGATAGTGCAAGCTACCACCAGCATACCACTAGTAGTTACAGTTAAGATTAACAGAAAAGAAAAAAAAAAAAGATTAACAGAAAAGAGACATGAAAAAGCCTTCCAGTTTACAATTAACATTTGGCCATTTTTTAATATGTAATATAACAATAATAATAACATACAGTTAGTTATAAAACCTTTTGATCACTACACCAACCTGAAGTCACTGAAGTAGGCGGAGTAGGAAAGACAGAAATAAAAATCAAAAAAGAGACAATTTAAAAGAAAGAGCCTCAAGCTTTCTAAAGATTTTAGGTTTATGGCATTTGGAATGATGTTAGCTGTAGGTCTGTAGAGATAATTTAAAAGAGAGATCCTCAAGCCTCAAGTGTCAATACCTGATGGGAGTATCGAAATATTACCTCAATTAAAAATTAATTATTTAATATAGCAGATTTTTACTGCTTTCCAGAACCCTGAATATTGATTACATCTAGTCATTTCTAACTTAACTAGTAAAATCTCAATGGTCAATTTGACCAATTAGCATACGCGAACTAAAACCCATTCAACCAAATCCAGACAAAAATCCAGCATCCATATCTGCTTGTAGGTCCTGTTCTAAGGTTCTTCAAAATAACTGGAAAAAAAAAAAATTGACAAACCTCTAGGGACAAAACTCAAACAAGAAAATCAGAAACAAACAGAAGTTACAACAGACATCTCAGAAAATCAGAAGATCATATGACATAGCTATGAATATAAATAGACTAGTAAGTTAATAACCTAGAAAAGTTGGAATAATTCTTAGAAATATACAATCTATAGTGACTGAATCATGAAGAAATAGAAAAGTTGAACAGAATAATCATAAGTAAGGAAATTGAAAAGGCAATAAAAAGTCTCCCAAAAATCAAAAGTTCAGGACTAGTTTCAATAATGAGTTCTACCAAACCTTCAAATATGAACTAATATTCATTAGCTATCCTAAAACTCACCCAAAAAAAAAATGAGACAGAGGGAAAACTTCCTAACATTTTATGAGGCCAATGCTACTCTGGTAACAATCACAAACAGAAATACCACAAAAAATGGAAAAATAAAGGCCAATTTCCCTGATGAATAAAGATGAAAAAATCTTCAACACAATCTCAGAAGAGCAAATTTAGAAATGTATTAAAAGGATCATACAGCACAAACAAGTGGAAATTTTTGCAGAGACACAGGGATTGTTCAACATCTAAAACTCAATCAACATAATTCACAACATCAACAACAGGAAAGCTAAAAGTTATGTTATCATATCACTAGATGCTGAGAAAGTACTTGATAAGACTCAACAACAACCATCTATGATAAAAACCTTCAGAAAACTGGGAATAGATGGAACATATTTCAACATAATAAGCTTTATATGACAAACCTACAGCTAACCTCATTCCAAATGGTGTAAACCTGAAAGCTTTTCCAATAGGATCTGGTGTAAGACCAGGGTGTCCACTTTCACCACCAACAGTCAACATAGTATTGAAAATATTAATTATAGCAATTAGGCAAGAGAAAGATATAAAAGGAATTCAATATGGGAAAGAACAAGTAAAATTATCATATTTTCAGATGACATGATAATGTACAAAGACTAAAGACTCCACTAAAAAACTAATTGAAACAAATCATTGGAGCAAAGTAGCAGAACAAAATCAATGTACAAAAATCAATTGTTTTCCTATTAAGAAACAATGAGTTAGAATAGGAAGCAATAAAGAAAACATTCCCATTTATCATTACATAAAAAAAATAAATAGGTAGGAATAAACTTAAAAATGGATATGAAGATCCTATGCAATGAAAACTGTAAGGCATTGCTAAAAGATATTGAAGACACAAAAAAAAGTAAGGATAGTTACTGTTTATGGGTCAGAACAAATAATTTTGATAAAATGACCATCTTACCTTATGATATATATAGATTCAGTCCAATCCCTATATACATTCCTATCAAGGCCCTAACTGCATTCTTTAGAGGAATTGAACAAACATTACTGATATTCATAAGGAATCACAAAAAACTCTGAATAGCCAAAAATTTATCCTGACAAAAGAAGAGGAAGAGTTTTGGTAACTCTTCAAACTATAGCCTTCAAGCTATACTATAAAACTACAGTAATCCAAACAGTATGAATCTGGAACAAAAACAGACACACATACCAAAGGAATTTCAGAAATCAACCCATACTTATATGGACAGTTAATCTACAACAAAGGAGCCAAGAGTTTACATTGGAGAAAGGAGAACTTCTACAACCAATGTTGTAGGAAACACTGGACAGTCATATGCATCAGATTAAAATTAGGTCATCATCAATAAATAAATAAATAAATAAACAAATAAATAAATAAATAAATAAATAAAATTAGGTCATCATAAAATTAAATCAAAATGGATTAAAGAATTGAATATAAGACCTGAAACTAGAAAAATATATAGAAGAAAACATAGGTAAAATGCTCTATGATAATGGCTTCACTGATGTCTTATGGACTTGTCTCCAATATCAAGGAAAAGTAAGTACTAACAAAAATGGACTGCATTAAACTAAAAATTTGTGCACACCAGAAGAAACCAACACTGAAACTAAAATACACCCAACTGAATGGGAGAACATATTTGCACATCATACATATGACAAACGGTTGATATCCAAGATATATAAAGAATTCATACAACTCAACAAATAACCCAATTGAAAAATGGACAGAAGAACTAAATATAAACTTCTCCAAAGAAAATATACAGATGGTTAACAGACCCATGAAAAAAATTCTCCTCATTATTTATCATCAGGGAAATTCAAATCAAAACCACAGTGAAACTAGCACTTCACACCTGTAAGAATGGCCCATTTCAAAAAGTCCAGAAACAAGTGTTGGGGAGGATCTGGAGAAAGGAACCCTCATATACTGTTGTTGGAAATGTAGATTGGTCCAACCCCTATGGAAAACTGTATAATTTTCTCAAAATATTAAAAATAGATCTTCCATATTATCCAGTGATTCTATGACTAGGAATCTGCCTGAAAATTAAAATTAAAAAATTGAAGAGATATTTCTTTGTAGCACCATTTTCCATAGACAAATCTAGTGCCCTAGGTCAAAAAACTTTATTTGAAAAATATGGGCTATATACACAATAGAATACTTTGTAGCTATTTAAAAAAATATAAAATCTTGCAATTTGCCACAACACGGATGAAACTGGAAGGAATAATGCTAAGTGAATTAAATCAGAATTTAAGACACCATCAGTGGTCTCATTGATATTGTAACAGGGTGGTCCCCAGGAAAGGGGGAGGTTCCAGGTTTCCTGCCCCACCCAAAAGGAGGGTGGAGCTGAACAGAGGAAGAGAAGAAGCTGCAGAGGAGAGTGAGAAGGAAGGAAGCAGGATGGAGAACCAGGAGGAGACCTGGAGGAGGCACATGGAATGGAGAGATATGTGAAGTAACTGTGCTTGCCTTTTGGTCATGGACTGGGTGACACAGATGTGGGTGAGACCTGTAGGGAGGTGTCAGTGGCAGCTTTTATCTTGATTTTGATTTTGCTCTTTTCCTTCCAGGCTTGTCTGGTTGTTTCTGACCCTTTTCTGTGGGTCCCCACTGGAAGATGCTTTGTACTTGTGGCAGGCTTTGGGGCCTTGCTCTGGGCCAATCATTCCATTTGGATGGAGTTTTACCCACAAAGGGACTGGTAACTTTGGGTGCTTGATTTAGAAACTAGATTCTTTGCCTTTCCTGTATTGTTTCCTAGTTGTATTAAAGTTCCTTCTCATTAAAGTCTCCTATGTTTTGTGTTGATGCGGCAGATGGCAGAACCCATTTAGAATAGGCAGGTTTG